TTTTTTTTTATAAATTAGTTAGAGACTATAAATCTTTCTACTTGAGAAACTAGAAGAAAAAGAATAGAAAAGAAGACAATCTTGATAAGTTGTAAATGCCATTCAGTAATAGATTAAATTATTCAGTTGCAGAATTTTTTGATATAGAAATAAACTTTACTATAGCAGATTGAATATAGGTAATTTGGATATTTTGGTATTATAAAGAGCCAGGTTAGCTAATACTTGTAATTTAAATAAACTTGAAGTAACTTGAGTTAAAAATTATATTTTCACTATGAGTTAATATTGTATTATAATAAGGAAAAAACTAATTTGACACCTAGTGTATTAAACCCAGGTGTTTGTGTAACATGTAAATTAAATAATTTTTATTAAAATAAACAATAAACAAACATATTTTTAATTAATATTAGAGTTAGTATTAGTGTTTAAAATAAAATAAATCATAGTCTATACTAAAATTTTACAAGGAATTTTTTTTCTTAAAGCTTGAAAAGTAGTTTCATAAGCAAAATTTTAATATATTATTTATTTTTAGTTTTTTTCTTTATTTTTGTTATACAAACAAAGATCTATATATTGCATGCAATTTGATATTTTAATTGGTTTTTAATCATTTTGTGTAACCAAGTATTAATACACCCCGTGTCCAAATAGTAATTGTCTTATAATAAAATATTAGCAAAATTGCTAAATTTTAAAAAAAAAAAATAAGTACAATTAATCCTTTCTAAGTGCATATCACAGGATTATAGTAAAAATTTTTAAAAATATATATTTAAAAAGGTTATGCATTTAGAGAGGTAAAAATCTATAAATGTTATATTAAGTTGAGCCAAAAAAAGATATATATTTAGAGAGATTTTATATAGATATGTATTTAGGAAGGTTGCATTTAGGAAGGTCTAACTATATTACTAAAAAAACAGTAACACTTTTTAATAATTACTTGAATCACAATTTTCAAAAAACAACTTATTGGAAAAAAAATACAGTATATTGGTGTTTTGTTAATAACTTTAATATAAAACATGATAAAAGAAACTGTAAAACAGCAGCTGTTATTTAAAGATAGTTCTTATATACTACTTGCTAATAGCTTTAGAGTTTATTACTTGCTAACAAGCTTAGAGTTTATTACTTATCAGAAAGACCTATTACTATATAGGCTCAGGTGTACTGTTAATTCTAGTAAAAGAAAACTTATTCTCTTTTAGTAGTTTCAAGTATTTTTTCTCTCTTTTGTATTTTGTCAATCTCACTAAAAATTTCAACAAAAAGTAGACATTTTAGCTTACCCCTTCCAAAAAATCAGTATTGTTTATGCTTTTATTTTTAGACAAACAAAGTAAAATATAAATACAAAATTGTTTTTGCAATAATAATTCTACACTATATGATAAACTAATTAGCACTCTGGTTAATAAACTCACTTAGACCAGACAGTATAGTTAGAATAATAAAGCTTAGCTTTACAATAGAAATATATAAGATTTTTCTGTTAAATTTAATATATAATTTTTACAACTGTATCTAGCACAGGCTATAATAATACTTTCATAGATTGTATTTTTTTTTTACTTTTTCGGCAATTTTTTTTTTCTCTTTCATTTTATTCTCTTTATCTTTGTTAGTATTGGGGGTCTTTTTTTATAAGTTAGTTGGAGACTATAAATCTTTCTACTTAGAAAACTAAAAGAAAAAAGTTAGAAAAGAAAGTGATTTTGATAGGCTATAAATACTATTCAGTGATGTATCAAAGAATTTATTTGCAGAGTTTTTTGATATAAAAATAAACTTAACTATAGCAAATCAAAATATAGATAATTTGGGCACTTCAGTGTTACAAAAAGCTGAGTTAGCTAATACTTGTAACTTAGGTAGGCTTTAGGTAATTTCAACTAAAATTATTTTTTTTAAATTTCAGCAGTTATGCTTCACTTTATTAGGCTATAATAAACAAACTACATGAGTTTATCAATCTTATTAAACACATTATGTTCAACTACCTAAATTACAAGTATTAGCTAACCTGGTTGTATTAAAGGTATATCTATATTCAACCTGCTATAGTAGAATTTATCTCCTTACTTATCTTTCCTGCATTTGAAGTAGATAAATAAATCTATAAATAGTATCTATGGCTTGTTATAACTGCTAATTTCTCTAAATTTCTTCTCTTCTAAATATTGGAGCAAGAGGATTCCATAATTCTTGCCTAAAGAATGACAAGTAACTAAAAAAAAACTAAACTAAAAAAAAAAGATAGTAAAAAAAAGAGGAAAATACTACAAGATCTAAATGAGAACCAAATACAAAAAACGAAAGAAAAAAAGATATAAAAAAAAAAAGGGCAAAAAAAAAACATAAATATAACAATACTAATTGTGCTAGTGCAGGGCATAAAAAATTATTTAATACTCTATAAAAACAATCCTTATTTTTACTTTACTTTAGTATTAAAATAGTTTGATTATGTAGAGAATACAAAATTTTTTTGTTTACTCTATGAATCCATTATGTGTCATTTATTGTTGTTCAAATATGTAGTAGCATGACTTTTTTCTGATTTAGCTATTTCTGATTTGGCTGCATAAACAATATTGATCCTTTGTAGAAGGTATGCCGAATTTTCTACATTTTGAAAAAAATTTTGAATCAATATTTACTTTTCATAGAACTTCTCTAAAAAGATATTCAGCATACAAACCAAGAGCATTATTATACAAGATAACTAGCAGGCAGTGTCTTTGTATAAAAAATCTTAGTGAAAAGACAAAGTCTTTTTCGTTGATGAAGCTCTTAGGCTATTAACAAACTATAGAAAAAACAACAATATTTGTAGACTTTAATACACTTCTTTGAAATTTTGAAAGTATCTAACTTCATTCATAAACTACCCTCTATATTCCCACTAGGTTTTTTGGTGTTTCTCTCAAAATTTGGATCTTCTTTAGTATAGCTAAGCAATATAAAAATATTATAAGATTATAATATAAAAAAACTCTAACCCTAACTCTAAGCTAACTTTAATATAAACTATAAGCTTATACTAACTCTAAGGGCATGTACTTTTATCATCTAATTTCAGTTTATTAGTAGCTCTACCCCCTACCTTTATATATAGATTTATATGTAATTTTCAAAATTTTTGACCCCTCCCTTCCTAGAAAATCAAGTGATAAAAGTAGGCTCCCTAACTATTCCCAAATTTGCTTAAATTAGGTTAAATAGTTATTTATTTATATTATAATTTTATAATAATTCTATATTGCCTAGTTAAACTAATGATCAACCTCAGAGGATTAAATTTTTAGCTTATTATTTTTTAACCTATTCTTTTGTTTATTATCTACTTTAAAAAATTAAACAGCAAAATAATATATAAGCTAATTCTTTAGTATAATTTATTTTAAGAAAAATAAAAAATTTTTTATAAAATTTATTGTCTTGAATATTATTTACAAAATATTAAACAAACTTAACAAAGCTATTATCTAATTCTTAATAGATATATAGTTGGTATTAAAATTTATAGTATAGTATTATTACTAAAACTTGATACAATACTAGTAACAAGATAATATATACAATAACTTGGAATAGTGATAAAAGAAAAAAAGGTTTATAACAAGTAATAAATCTGTAAATAATATAGCAACTTTATTTTTACAAGTTTGTATTAGTTTAATAAATTAATTGTTTTAAAATACAATATATATTATATTTATTAATATATTATAATAAATAAAATTTATTTAAAAATACAGTTAGACCTCTTTAAATGCATAGCCGTGGGCGGCTAAAAAATCTTGCATTTAGAGAAATATTGCATTTAGGAAGGTAAAAATCTATAAGTGTTATATAAGTTGGGGCCAAACAAGGCCATGCATTTAGAAAGACTATGTAGTTAGAAAATATGTATTTAGGGAGGTTTGACTATATATAATAATTGCAAAAATAATTAATCTTTAAAATTATTAAAAAATTAAATGTAAAAAATTATTGCACAATAAAAATTTATAAAAATATAACAAGAAATAGTTCAAATTCTGTTTTGTTTATTAATATAAAAGATTTATAAATAAATTGTCAAACTTTTTAATTTTTTTTTGTATTAGAAGTATAGATGGAGGTAAATTTATTTTCAATTATTTTTAATTTTAACAATAATTTTAAAATTGATATAATTGAAAACTAATTTTACCAATATGTAGCTATATGCTTATATATATTATATATTAATAAATATTAGTTTTTTATAGTTAATTTTAATTTGCTATATTTTCGTGTAATGAACGTTATTTCGAAAGTTTGCATCACTCGAAAATTAATACACATGGCTTCAATATGACGCCCCTGCACGTTCCGAAACAACGCGCATGTTTTAATTAATGTAAATGGCTTCTCATGTCAGACGATCAGTCTTTAACACAAAATAATGCACATATGCGTGCTCGAAATATTACGCGAAAATACTGAGCATCTAAATTATATAAATATAAAATTTTATTTTAATTTTATGTTAATATAGAATTAAACAAAAGATTTTTTACCAAATTAATTTGGTAGTTAAGATATTTTAATTTAAATTTAACAAAAAGTTGCTAAAATAATTTTTTTTATAACTTCTTTCCCATATATATTTTTTATATTCGTCTACAAAACTACATATTAAAATTAGATATAAATATCTTTGTAACGAGTTCCTAAATAATTAAGCTGACCAAAAAAAGACATATTTTGTCCATGTTTCAAATTCTAAAGTTCCAAAATGTATTAGATAATACTGCATATTACAGTATTATTGTAATAATTAAGAAAATTTCTACCCGGGTATTATTAATTTACCCGGTTATCCGGATAATTTAATATAGCCATATAAATATCTATCCGGGTATAACCTCTATATCATTGTAATAATAGAGATAAGAAATATCATATATTGAACAAATGATATGCAAACCAGAATTCTGTACGTAAAAATAACTGAATAATCAATTCCAATATAAAGAAGTTTCACCAAATAATTCAGGAGAAGTCATTGGAAATAATAAAATTGAAAATAATATTATGCCGAGAAACAATGCTAAAATGATTACTATTTATTATGGAAACGATAAGAAGGAAAAGTATCATATATTAGATTATGCTGAAGATAAGAAACGAAGAATTATTCATTGAAAGTTGCTTACAAGTTCGCACATTTTTTGGATGAGCCGAAAAATTGATCATTGGAAATCCCATCATATTTGCAAAACTATGTGTAATGAATGGGGAAAAAAAGCTCCCTTTGATTTTCAAAGTAAAATTATTAGATGTAATTTAAATCAATCATATGTATATATAATAAGAATTATCGTCATATTACCTGTTCGCATAAATATAAAGGTTGCATACCATCCGAACAATGTGGTATATGAAAATTGGAAAGCTTTGAATAAAATGATAACATGATTTAAAATTTTTATCATATATAGAATCAGGATATAATTATAACTGATTTACCTGAACTGATGATTGCTCTTTTAGCAGCTTCTCTGTTTCGACCATATAAAACATAATTCTCCCAAGCATGATGCACATGAGCTATTTGATCAAATTTTGGTTTATAATCGACAATTAGTAGCTACTTTATGCACGCACCAATAAAAATAAATTAATAAACAATACCTATAGCAAAGACTAAAGGAGTGAGAAATATTATCTTCACATAACTAATTTTAGCATAATGAAGGAGTGAAATCATGCAACTTCTGAATACTAATTCTTCAGTAGCTGGAGACTACAAATATACTGAAATGTATTAAATTCTTATTTGACTTGATTAAACGAAGAACTTTTTTTCTCATCAAATTGCTTACAAAAATATAATTCCTGAAACCTATCAGAGTCTTAAAGGGATAACTGACACTTTTTTTAAAGTTGTATCGTGATTGGAAAGGTAGTTCTTCATCCAAATAGTCAACAAATAATGGACCAAGGAATAATATCATGGTCAAACCCAATGGGAAGAAAATTATATTAAAGAAATAATATAAATCATTTGGAATATAAAGACCAAGCAGATTCAATAACGTAATAATCTGTGAGTATGATGACTATAAAATCATAAGATGATAAGAAAATGCTTTGTATCATAATGATGGTAATATAATAAAAGACTTTGTTAACCTCATGGTTCGTAAATCCATTATTATAATATATGACTGCCCAAACAGAACTACATGATATTATGCAAGATATTGTAGTAGTTTTTATACGATGTACAATAACTTGAGGATGGGTATTTGTCAAGCCCGGATTTCTATCACAGATTCTATGGTTTTTTGAAAAATATAATAATCCAACGTAAACTAACGTGAACCAAATACAACTTGAAACAGCTATTAAAGGAGATATTTGGAAATCTTTAGGAATAGAAATACTGTTCATAATTTGTTGATCAAGGAAAGTCGAAAGCAAAAATAAATTATTGAAAGAATATTCGGTACATTTATATCTTGGATTAACAATCGCATTGCAGATCAGGCGAATTTGTTATGCATCAATGCCTTCATTGTGTAAATAATTCACGAATATCAATTGTTTTGTTTTGGACTATTTTTAATCCGAAGCCGAATTGTCGGTGCTTAACAAACCGTTGCACGTGCTGATTTTATAGAAATAGCATATACAGTCGACTCTTTCTATACTGAACCCTCGGTTCTGGCCAAAAAAAAAGTTCGTTATATAGAATTACTATGTTTTCTTAATAGCCATAGCTCTTGTTATACCGAACTAATATTAAAATTTAGAAAGTTTGAGTTCGTTATATCCAGAGTTCGTTATAAAAAGGTTCGTTATATCCAGAGTTGACTGTATTTGATATCGATATGATATGCTAAATAAAGCATATATTCATTTAAATTTCGTTACGCAAGTTTATAAACTTTGGAAATATTATGCTCTAAATAAAACAACTAGAGTTCTACCAGGCGCTAGTGCCTCATGTCATGCCTCTATCTACTGTATGGGAACAAAAATGCCAGGTATATTATAGGCACAGGTACAAAATGCCAAAGCGCCCGGCATTTTATATTTATTTGTATAAAAATGCTCGGTTAAATTTTGTGCCTGTGCCCATGCCCATGTCGAATTTTTATGCCTATGCCCATGCCCATACCCATACCCATGCCCAAGATTTTGTGCCTATGCCGTGCCTGTGTTAGGCATGGGCACGAGCCCGGTTTGCAGAACCCTAAACAAGACCTATTTAACATTTTTAATTATATTATTTACGAAATTTAAGTGTTGACCAAAGTGTAAATATTAACAAGTATAAATAATGTACAGTATTTAATAATGAACCCGATTTCTTAAGAAAAAAATAAAAATAAAAATAAATATAATATATAATACAGTAAAATATTACTATAGTACAGCAGCATACAAATTTCACAACTACTATACATTACGAGTGTTGCAGAGTAAAAACCCGAAACTGATCATAATAAATCAGTTACAGATTTTCGCTCTGCAACACTCATATAAAGTTACTTTTATAAAAAGTTAGTTCACAATCCATTAAACATGCCCGGCAACAGACAACTCCCTTTTCAAAGAATTATCTCTAACAATCTCCTGCCACCCCTTCAGATCAACACCTAGTCTTCTACCCAAAGTATTAATTGAGGTTTCTAAATTCGTTGCAATTTCTTGAAATTTGTTTTCGGATGGTTGATGCGAACTAACTCGAACCGCAATTATTAATGCTCGTCGCAAATTTTGTGCAACCTATCATAAAAATTTGATCTTGTTATTTTAATACTCAAGAAACTTAAATACAATTTTTTATGTAATACCTCAAAAAGCGTGTCAGAGTCACTTCTGTCACTTGTCTTTTCTAATTCAAATATATCGACCAATACGTCATAAACGAATCCACTAAAAAGCTATTGTTTTAAGGGACAAGATCCCGTTTTTAAAAAAAGAAAGTCATTTGAAATTACATGTTCATGTAAAAAAAAAAACAAAAAAAAACTCCTTTAAAGCTAAAATTACCAAAGATAATATGTGTGTTTCATTTCCGACACTGGACCCTCTATACTTGTTTGATAAATTTCTTATACCCTTGCCTTTATTTTTATATACTAAATCGCCAAATTCTTCACCTACAGCAGCCACAAAATTGTCCGCTGATCGAAGGTCTGATTTTGTACATTCGATTAAAAGGTCAACCATGTCTTTCTAGATATATGATATAAATATTCGTTATAAATTATAGTATTATCAAATCAATTAGTCAAACAACCCACCATAGAAAGAATCGTAAACATTGTAGTTAAATCTCCGAAAGCCTCATGAAGTGCACCAGTTTGTCCATCTACTAACCAATCATTTTGAAGAATGTCCAGAAATGCGTGTCCGGTTTCATGAGAAACAATATCGAGTGAACGACAAAGATATAAAGGTTTATTATCCTGAACAATGTAGAAAAATTTAAGTGCTGCATCTTCACGATCATAATAAGCATTGGCTTCTTCTCCCGCATGAGGAATGATCGTTAACTTTCTTTCGCCCCATGGTTTGTCCACTTGTGGTGGTTTACCATCGAGATATTCCAGATCACTCAATAATAGATTGAATACCTAAGTGATAATATGTAGTAAATTAATACACTATTAAATGAAATATAAAGCGTTCTTAAGTTCCTCATTCAATGGATCGGAGGCAACCAAGTAATTTATCATTTCGATGAATAGAATACGGTGGGAACGTATGAATTAATCACAATAGCCACTTCAATTAATTGCAATGATTGAGCATATCCGTAATTTGATAAATAATTTATAATGCATACATATCGACAAACACCAAAGCAGTGAACGACATCAAATTTTGTGCGAGACTCAGATTCTGGGACAGATGATTCCTCTTTCTCATCAAATTCAAGCAAAAAATTACCATCATGATCCGGATAAACCGGAGAACAGTTAGCTTTAACGTCAAACCATGAATCGGATGGTCCGACGGTAATATCATTGTTAGGTAGGCAGAGCTTTCTTATACCAATATTCTTAACGGACGGATCTGCCTTCCAGATATTTAAACAAACAAATTTTCCAGGTCCTCCGGTGAGATGAATTAGAGCTTGTGAAAGTCGCGATGCTAAATAATGTACTGATCTAAAATTTCGATATAGAAATGATTACGATTATCAATTCAATAAAACGTTGTGATACACTGATGAATGTACTTGCCGTGGCCAGACGTTTTGTTCGTAGTTGAACAAAGAAAATGCCAAATTTTTCGTCTCTTTCAAATCATTATCAGCACGTATAGTTGGCCCTTCAGTCGTTGGGGCAAACCGCATATATTTGCCATTGTGTGCTACAACTGTAGCCTTTTCTTTAAAATCTAATTTTTATAACAATTATTATAATTATTTATTATTTTCGAATTGAATACAACTTTATAGAATATGTAAGAAAATTTTCGCATTTATTTTACCTGGGTGAGGAACGAACAAAAAAAGTTGATCGGGTCTTGGTAAAAAACGTTCTATCTTTTCGAAATATTCACCATCTGAGAACCCTATGGTACCATTAGAATCGATTACTCCCGCAAACTGGTTGTTCTCAGTATTTCTCCATGTGATTAATGGAATAGTAACTGTATCAAATATAAAATGTTAATTTTTTTGCCTACTTACTTAAAATAAAATTTCTTTAATTACCAAGTCTAAGGTCTCTTACTTCTTCGGGGAGTTTAATATCTTTATTATTTCTCGTATATCCAATAGAATATGTATTTGTTTCTTTTTTTTCGATAAGAAGCACAGCTGTTGATGACCAATTATTATCGGGTCTGCGACAAATATAATTAAATGAAACCAAATAAAATCAAATTTAAACAATTAAACTAAATGCTTACTTATTATCCGTTGTCAATTTGTCATTTGACTGAATAGAAAAATATTTTTTACATCGCTTGTTATATAATGCATAGTATTTTCCATAGTTTTCTGAAATTATATTAATATTTTATGTGTTTAAACACTTAATTTTTTTCAATGAATGCTAGTATAAATAACTATAATTTACTGTTTGCGACATAAATACTCGGAAAAAATTTTGTCCTTGTAATCCTTGTAATTCGAGAACGGTTAAGCGGTTAAATTTTTTTCATTTTAGATTTAAACGAATGCTATAGGTTCAAACATTCATTTAAACTAAAATAAAAAAAAAGTCTAGCCATTCTCGAGAGATAGAAATTGATGCTAAACAACATAGCAATATATATGCTGATCCATCTTTGAAAGTTTAAATAATTGCTATAATTGTTAATGAATGCTATTACCTACGGCTTAGCTATCCTTGAGATGTCAGAATTACATATAAATATGTAATGGACAATCGGTTCCTTTCGTAAACTCTTTCATTACTCTATATTTAGCAAGCATATTTCAAAAATGCGGATCCGTTTTCGGTGACACTAGTATTATGATTTACATCTTGAAATCATCGATAACGGATCAATCGCTTTCAAATAAATACATTGTTTTCCGGCCTTTTTGTCGCAAAGCATTAAAGTTTGACTAACCAATTCTCCAAAGTTGAGCAGGATTTGTAAAATCATAAATTTCCATGTCAATCGTGCCATCTTCTTTTACTGTAAGTGCACGTTTATGAGGATCAAGAAATGCAAAATAACGATAGATTTCTCCACTTAATGCATCACAATTTTCAACACAGGATAGCACTTTGTTTTTTGGATCAATCGTTAATGAATGTTTCATTGAAAGATCTTTGATAAACCAATAAATTTTCGCTATATTTTTGAAAAAAAAATACATATATTAATAAGTATGTGTTTTATTAAATAGATAAAAAATGGCGCATACCATATTTTCCTTTTAATGCAGGCTCTGGTCCCCAAGGATATTGCGGTGGATAAGGACTACTTTGGTCCTCTAAATTGTCAATCTTAGATCCAATTCGATGACAACGTTTATCCAGACTAAAAGCATTTTCTCTAGACCAACCATGTAATGTATCAAAAAAGTCTGAAATAAACAATGATAAATTGGTATTAATATCCCTGACAGCCTTCGAATGCATATCCTTCGACCAAGTTCCATGTACAATCGCAGAAATAATGTTAGCTACATCCTTTCCACATTCTTCCAATTTTTTTGTCGATTTAAACGCATCTGTTAAATCATGGGTTATAGCATTTGCACACTTTTCAAGCCAATCCGGTTCTTCATGATTTTTCTCCCAAATATTCTCCAAACGTTTGACGATCTTTTTTAATTCCTTATGGTGAATTTTATCAGAGATATGATGTGGCGCAGGTTTGCATAATCCTCCTTTCCAACCCGTGCCATTTGATTGGGCAATAACGTGAGAGCCACCATCATCATTACTTTTTGTAAAAGAGGCTCTTTTTTTTTTAATAAAATTGATGATTTTCGATGGTTTAGATGCCATTTTTATTGAGTTTATCCGAAATGAAAATAAATCAGTTAAACGAAAAGAGTTATCCCAAAAATTCAATCCTGATTAATCCAGCTTTTTTTATTTATTTAATAAAAAAATATTATCTAACATTCTTTAATAATCTTGTCAATTTGTCTTTGATATGACAGAGAATCTTTTGTATCTAACTTAGAACGGTTGGTGTCTTAACTTATTTTCATTTAAGATTCGAGATTGAAGATTTTCTCTTTTTTTGGCATCCTTGATTCGGAAAATCACAAACACAACATCATCAATCTACTATGAGTCACCTAAATGAGTCTGTCGTGACTCGTTACACTTTATGCTGGGAAATTTTTTTGTGATACATACTTGTTAATTACTTTTCTCCTTACATCCAAAGATTTTCAGAAAAGATGTTCCTGATGTCATCACCCGGTCTCGAGCAACAGCAAAACTTAGTCACTTATGGTCATACGAAGATTCATTAAAAATTGTGATCTCGTTTGTTGTTTGATAATACTTGTTAAATTCTTGGTCATTTGATAACTCACATTCAAGTTCAAGGGTCCACTCTGTTTCATTCCTAAAAAAAGAACAAATCAAGCCATAAAGGATGTCTGCATCTAGCATATATTGTTGAATCTATTGTCTACTTAAAAATAAAATGTGTATGAACAGATGAAATGAACAGATGAAATGAACTGGTGATTCTAATATCAGGGCTGCGCCCTAACCTTTCCGGATGTGGTATTTGTGACGTTCTATAGATTGCATGTCGTGCCATTGTGTATTTTACCTGTACGTCGATTCGGTTTTATTACCAGGCTTTTGCTTTTCTTTCCTGTTTCTGTAAAGTTTTTCGACTTAAAAGAAACAATTTTTTCTTTTTTTATTTATATACACAATAGTCCCTTTATTTTCTTGGTCAGTCACGAATTTTACTTAACCTAACTTTTTGATTTTGAGTATGAAATTTTTGACGATTTTTAATGATACTAGAAAACCGTAACTTAACGATATATCCAATAGTAAAGCTTTACGTATCTGCAGCTAGTCAATATCCAACTCCCGCGCCTTACCCTGCTACCGTAACGTTCTGCGCAGTTAAAAGTTGTTACCAGTATTACGTAGTTTATACGAAATTTTTTTTTTTTTTGCCCGAAACAAAAAAAATTATTTAAACACCGAAATCATCAGTTAATCAAATGAAACCGTTGAACTTGTTTAATTCTAATTCGCAGCCGTCTTTCGAATCAGTCAATAATAATCACTGGGATCTCCTGACCTCTTCGTTTTACCATACTTTATATAATTCTCTTCCCTTTCGCCTTCTGGTCTTTGGAAATCAAAACTTACCAACTCATTATTGCATATATTACTTTTCACCGATTTACACCAATCTCAAGCAATATTCGATAACAAATCTGTTACTTGCTTATACTTTACCTCTACTTTATATATTTTCACCAACCCTGGTAAGTGTGAACGTTAGGTGTAAATGCTAGTATGTTTGAATAGAGTGCGCATACTAGGTGTTGAAAGATCGAATTCAATCATTCAATGTACATGGCTTCATTATCGCGATACGATCGTCCAAATTAATATATTAATTTTAATCCGTTAAATATTTCATTCCTAGATTGTTCCAGCCATATTTATTCGTTCTTTGCAATTTTTTGCTTCAAAAACTGCCGCAATTGGCAGTAGTCTCACCTCAAATAGAACCCGATCTACGTTATTCAATCTGTCTTCAATCAATAGTTCTAGCTCCTCCTCCCAAAGGAGTGACAATGGAGGAGAAGGTGATATGACGTCAGCTCAAGATATCGAATATTGGCTTCAAAGATGTTCGATTTGTTTCGATGCTCAGCTCGATTTCTGTTTAGAATTATGTAGAGATCAATTTTGTAGAGATTGTTTCCAAAGGTAATAAATACTTTTTAAGGTTTATACATTTATTATATTTATTATTAAATTTTAAATTTTATAACATTGTTTTATACTATGACTTGGTGTTTTTTTTTAGATATGTTAAGGAGGTGGTTCAGAATTCCTGGGGACTTGGTATTACCAAAGTTAAATGTCCTGTATGTCAAGATATTATCCAACAATCAGAATGGAGCAAGGTAAATACTGGATCTATTCAATATTTTTTATTTTTGAATAGTTAATATTTTGGTCATTATTTACCACATATAATCGATTCGCGTTGGTATTCCAAAGTATGTAGACCAAAACATTATTGACTTATATAATACTTATAATAAACCGTACCGTTCGTTTTCTCGGTGTTGTTCGGAATGTGGTGAAGAAGTTTTTGCTGCTCAAGTGTTTCAAGTGTGTGCTGAAGAAAAAGAGAAGTAAGTTTGGTTTATCACTTATAATAATGTTTCTTATTTCTAAAAATAAATACTTACTTTTTCCCTTAATATTTATAGATATTTTAAAGAAATTTCTATTCTTCTTCGTAAATATTTTGATACATATGGATCTGGAAAAAACTGTAAAGGGAAAGGTACTCTAAATCGTGTAACGAAAAATCAAAGTGATATTGATAGTTTTCTTGAAAAGTATCAGGCAGATTATTTAGCATATATATCAGGTGAAGATCCCAAGATTGGAGTAATGGAAATGTACGAATATATTGCAAAGAAATTGGGAGAAAGTCTCGGCCTGAGGTAGTATATAATCATATTGAAATAATGTTAACAGCTCATGTATGCTTTTTAATAATTGTTATATCAATAAATTGTAGTATGGACGTCGACAATCGACGTCCTTCAAAATTTTCACGACGCAAGTTAAAAACTCACGCCGACATGGTCAAATCTGCGGCAGAAATCTCTTCAAGGATTGTTGCATTGGAGGTTCGACCCGATGCGTGGAAAGAACTGCAGTTTATGCACGTGGCAAATTTTCCCCAGTCTCACTGGTAAATAATAAATATTCACGATTGTTTCTAAATGTGACTACTAATTTTTTTTTTTGCTCATTTGTAGCACTCGTTGTAACAATGATATTTGTCTTCAATGCGGAGAATCTACCCATCACCCTGGAATGACTTGCATTCAATTTATGCGCTATAAAGTAGCTAATCCTCACTTGTTCATTCTTAATCACTGTCATGTTCATAATGACGCACTTGAAAACATAAAATGGAAACTTGCGAATTCAAAGTCTTGTCCAAATTGTTCTATTCTTATTAACCGTGATGATGGGTGCAACAAAGTTGACTGTTTACATTGTGGTTATAGATTTTGTTGGATTTGTAGAAATAGATGGTCAGAGAATTGCGGTTTTTATAAGTGTAGAATGGCAAAATCAAAGAGAAAACGCGATAAGGAAAAATATCCAGTAGGAAGTCAACGACAGCGGACTTCACAATTCAAGAGACAGGCACAAATGCATACACAAGAAGTAGCATCGGAGAATAGTGAAGTTAGTGGAGAGGCGGGACATTCACAGGAAATTCGAGATGATGTGGAAATGGTTGATTCTATGCAAAATACTGAAGAAGATACAGAATACGATGATGAAAATGATGCGGATGATGATGACCAAGAAGATGCAGCGATGATAGATGCTTTGGCGAAAAGTTTGGACGATCGTGTGAGTATTTTAATTAGTAAACAAACTTTATCGCGTTGTTATTAATCTGAATATCATTTTCTGAAATGTTTTTAATATAGCCGGAAATTGGTGTGCCAAATGTCTTTATGATTCAATCTAAATTAATCTCAAATTCTAATTTTTTGTAAATAAATGGTGTTCTTTAATCAAATCTTCTCATAAAAACTAAAGCTTAGAATAGGTATTTATGATTATTTACTTGTTAATGTTCTACCACCATTGATCCTAATTGTTAAAAGTGAATGGCTGTGGTTTTTTTCGATTACAGTAAACTTTAACGTTTTATACTTGAGAAACTGATAGATAGGACATTTACAAATTCTTGATTTTTAATTTGCCTGATTTCATAGAATAAAAGACTTTTATTTCGCCGTTTCTGATAGGTTGTACTAGAATTGGGTATACTATTTATAGAGACTATTTCATCGTACTTTCGCGATTCAATTTTGTATACATTACATATTTGTTTATAGTTTTTTGTATATTTTATAAACTTCAATTTGTCTTATTGTATTTGTTTAAGTAATTATTTGTATTTGTGCTTATTTTAACTAGAAGAGCGTAAATCTCGAAATTTTGATTGTTCTTGTTATATTTACGTGACAAGCTTTTCCTGACGCGTTTTACATGACTAATTTTGCCAACCCAAAATTCGGAGAATTAGATGCATATGCAGATCATCGTCATGTTTATTCATTATCCCGGCATGTGATGATCGACCAATAATAAATCGTCAAATAAGTTAATTTTTTTAAACCTTCGAGCTAAGGTTTCTTGACAACCACCTAATAAATTTTGATGAATCTTTTTTATTTGAATTCTGCAAATATGTAGAATTCGAATAAAAAAATTTTCATCGAAATTGGTTAGGTGATTGTCGAGAAACCTTCACTCAAAGTCAAAGCAGAAACCTTCACTCAAAGTCAAAGCAAATCTATCCCACCTATAAATAATGAAATGATTCTTGAATTTTTTTTAAAACTTTGAGCGAAGATTTCTCAACAACCACCTAACCAATTTCAATAAAAAAATTTTTATTCGAATTCTACATATTTGTAGAATTCAAATAAAAAATAAATCATCAAAATTGTTAGAAAGTTGTCAAGAAACTTTCGCTCAAAAGTTTTAAAAAAAAAAAATTTATATACTTTGTCAAATTTCTGTTAAGTAATTTACTATAGCGATAGTAGTACAATTGTTTTTGTTTTTTTTTGTACAACAAATGCTTTATTCGTCACTGCTAAAACTTAAACCCAAGAATATTTTACGCGTGTAAAAACTAGAAATATTAAATTATATGAGAATACAAATGTTAAGTAGTTTATTTTTAAATTATTATTATTTGAATAAAATAAGTTAAGAAAGCAAGTTAATGAATT